GGGGGGGGGGGGAGCTGGGAACTGTGGGAAACATTTGGAGGCTTTAAATCATCTAAAAATAGATTTGTAGGTAAATTTGAGTGGATAAAGGGGTTTTCTATTTACTCTTCATCTACCCACGTACACCCAAGATTACCTGAAATTGTTCCGTCAATTGATTTGCTCCACCAAGTAGTGGTTTTTTATGGGAAAGAGAGAAGTGGCGTGAGCACTCTTGCTTTAATCCCCGTTATTACTTGCACGTATCGGGGTACGTCCGCAGATCAATTTGTCAGAATCCTTCACGTTTTCTGGGCCATCAGCCTTTGTAATAACGAGGTGGTACGCAGCGCCGGCTGGAGACCTGAGCAGAACATCATAACTCACGCTAATAACGCCGCGATGAAGGCAGTTCATCAGATTAATGTATCGTAATCATTTCCCACTTACCACAACACATCAAACTGTAACCATCATTTACTGGCCAGTATTAAGGCTCAAACCATTAATGACTTAAAAAACAGAAAGTGCTTTTAATGTTACTCATTACTAATTAAAATAGATTTTGAGAGGAGGAAATGAGCCTTATTATTAATTCCTCAAGGACCGCTGAGTTTGAAATTTTTAATGCGGCGCCGCATCCCGAGGCGGCAGGTCCCTCGCCCGGCCCCGGGGCAGGATGCGGCCGTAGAGGAGGAGTTTGGCTGAGCCGCGGGTCCTGGGGCCCTTTGGGGATGGGTTTTGGGGCTCCCCCCTCCGAAAACGTGTGACCAGGGTGCACCGGCCTGCAGAGCCAGTCCCCTGGTATTTATTTCCAGCTCAGTGTTAAGCACCGGCAGGACGGAGCATGAGAAGCCGAAGCCGCTGTTAGAAAATAAATCCTCACCACCGCAGTGTGCCCGTGTAAAAGTTGTTACCTTTGAGTACTTTAGCCCTTAGAGAAAAAAAAAAAAAAATTAAATACAGTCTCCCACGCTGGCCGTCCCAGGAACACCTCTGCCTTTCAGCCGGGCCGCTCCGGATTGACCCTGGGTGCGGGTCAGAGCACGCCGCGGCTCGGCAAAGCGTTGGCAAACGTTCGGGGGGTTTGTTAAAAAAAAACCCAACTGATCTCAGAATTAACTCTCCCTCTCCTCCGTGTCCCGTGTCTGCCTTCTCCTCCCCGCAGAGTCTCTCTGGATGTCCGGGCAAGACGGGGCGAAGTTTCTGACCGGGCCCACGTTTGGGTGATCTCATCAGACTTTGAGCACTACATCCTCACCGATAACGCAAACAAACTGGAGGTGGCACTCGACGGACTTAGGTTGTTTAAAAATCTCTCTCATCATCTCATGAATCTGCTGTACTATAAAAACAACAGCTTTTAAAAGTATGTATATAAAACCCATTTCTTGTTCGTTTTATTTTCTCGATGGGTTTCCCCCCCCCCTCCTCTTTTTAAACCTCTCCAAACCACATTTTTTCGTAGCATTTTGACATAGTCTCGTAGCCACGTAGTTCTAATTCTTTGTGTATCTAGCCAGAGCCTAACCATAGGGTAACTGTTTATATTAAGGGGTTTCTTTCGTTTTTCTTTCCCACCTCCCCTCCTTCTCCCTTCTGTTTTACGTAGTCGTTGTTGCTTAAAGGATGCTGAGATGGTGACAGGAGTCTCAGCCGCTGGTACCGGCTCTGCCCCCGCCGAGGGCGGCGTTGGGGAGCAGAGCCGGCAGCGGGCACGGTTTCGGGGTGGCCTTGCAGGGCGCGGGGGGCGCGGGTGAGCAGCAGGTTCTCTAGCCCTTCTTTTCGTTTGTGGCGTCTTCGTTAACCTAATTCTATCTATTTTCGGCAATAAGGCAAGGACTACAAACTTTTTGTGCGTCCTTTTTCTATAAGTGCTTTTTTTTGTTGAAAGAGGTGATATAAGGTTTTTTGAAATTGTGAATTCTGAGAAAAAAAAAAAAAATAACTGTAAATACAATTCCATTAACTACATATAAACTATTGAGAAAGAGAAATACAAACCTATTTTTGTGATGGAGTCAGCCTAAGGCAGTTTCTCTATGAAAACGGAAGAAAAAGAAAAGGAAGTTGTAGAGTTTGTGACCAACTGCCGGAGCTGGCCCGCGGGAGTTAGGCGATGCACACTGGTCAGCTTGCTCCGTAGCCGTGGTAGGACCTTCCAGCTCTCCTAGCGTCATACCAGCATCTTCGCTATCAGACGTGCACAGCTTACAAAGGAACAGTCTAGTGGTTTTTGGTTTTTTGGTTTTTTTTTTTTTTTAAATTTCAAACCTGCTTTTCCCAAGACTGAAAAAGAAGCTACGGTTTTCCTATTTAACACATTTACGGTTCAAAGCACACCTTTTTTTTTTATTATTTTTATTTTTTTTTCTCCTTTATATTTTTTTTTCAGTTGTTGTTTTAAACTAGATCAACTTGCTGTCCAGTCATTTCAGCTGCTCTGGGCACCCTGTGCAGCCCGGGTGGAGGCCAGGTCCCTCCTCCGCGCTCGCCTGCCGCAGGCAGAGCAGCTTTAAAGCTTGCATGGTTACCGGTTTTTATCCATCACTTTCTGTATTAACAAATTAGGAAAGCAACTTCGGTTTTGGTTTTGGTTTTTGATTTTATTTTTTTTTTTTTTTTGGGAATACCTCAGTGCTACAAGTTTCACCCTAGAAGCAACGGAAGATTTTAATTTATTGTAGTTGTAAACAGAATTTAAAAAAAAAAAAATAAAGTATAAAACATCATTGCACTGTGACTGGTAGGGGAAAAACTGACAGTTTCCTATTTGCACATGTTTAATATTTGGCTGTTATATATATGGTCCTCTGTTGGGGGAGGAAACTTATGAAGGATATTTTTTAATTTAATTTTTTTAATATTGGTAAATAGGCCTGCAACAGCAAACTAGAAGTACAACATGGTAGGTGGCATTAAGAACATACTGTAGTGTGGATATATTTCTTCTTTTTTTAACGTAATATTGACAAGTTTTATTAATATTTTTTTAAATTGTTACGTTTATAAATTTGGTACTTTAGGTACAGCCAGTATAAGACACTGAATGCGACATTTGTTAAAAAGAGCTGCTGCACTCCTATTTTTGTAAATTTTACTAACGAGTAGACTAATGTAGACATTCAATAGACAAGGTAGAGCAAGGCATCTTTAACAAAAACAAGGCACCATACTGCTAACCGAAAGGAGAAAACCTTGTTTTTTCTTGTTTTTAAAAAAAAGAATCATGCTTTTTATGTAATATTTTAGGTTTTTTTCTTATTTCAGAACAACCAGGTTTAAGCAAAATGCTGGACGCTTTTTAGATATTGAGACTTGATCAAGTAATAAATAAAACAATTCTTTAAAAAATAAAAACACACAAAAAAAAAACAACAACAAACAACAACAAACCAAATTCCCTGAAATTAATGTACCGTCAGGGAATTTTTTATTGATATTTTGTCAATGTTGATGATGTACTGTACTACCAGTTGGTTTTCCTCTCCATTCCCTGTCACCTCATAGAATATTCTTTGTTGATCATTGTTGTATGTTAATAGTGTATAAAATGGCTATCTTGTAAGAGTGCTGTCCTGATGCTAGTGTAGTGAATTTTCCCCCCCTCTTTCTCTCTTCCTCTTCTAGTACATAATGGTAGGTGTATCGTAATTAAGGTTAAAAATTTAGATGTAGTTATTCAGATTTAGGACCAGTAAGGATAGAACTTTCTCTTATTTAAGAAAAAAAAAAAATGCTAATAATTTTGGGAAGGTTTTCCTTTTATTTTTTTTTTCTTTCCTCTTTTTTTTTTTTTTTCTCTCTCGTTTTTGTTTTCTTTTGCTGATCTGATGCGGTTTCAACTAACCAAAGGTCTCACAATGTTAAAAATGCTGGCAAACTCTTTAAGGCATTTGTAGATCCCCACCCTTGACTTTGAAAAGGGGATGTGCCATACTACCTTAAATGCTAATGCTAGATATGCAAAACTGGATTTTTTTAATTTATTTTTTAAAAGAGGGAGGCACGGTATATTAAAACGATTTTACTAAGAGAAAAAAAAAATATTTTTTTAAGAATGCTCAGAAGAAATTGCTAATCTGTGTGAATATGTTTTAGATGTTTATATACTTTTTGAGAAGTCCCAGTGGCCCATAGCACAAATGTCGTGGAATCCGATATGTTTTGATGTGGCTACCTAGACTAAGGTTCACGTTAGTCCCCCACTCATCTAGAAGTCCATTTCGAAGGGTTTTTTTTTGTTTTTTTGGTTTTTTTCTTTCTTCGTTTGGGGGTTTTTTGTAAATTTTTCAGCACAAAGGTTCAGCTCCACCTTTGTTTTAGTCAAGCACAGCGAGTGAAGGATCGTGCTGAGGACGTTGCCCTTTTCTTTTTCCAAATACCCCGTACGGACCCGCTACCCCCGGAGTGACCAAAAAGCGAGGGATTTCCACCTAGGAGTGTGAACTGGCACCCGAAGGGCCGCCGGCCCCGCGCCAACCGTGCCCTGGGCCGCGTCCAAACACGAGGGACGTTTTGAGAGGAGTCGTAACAAGCCACAGGAGCTCGGGTACCCTCCCCCCTTCAAAAGAAAAAAAGTCCTTTGTGATTGGCTTGATTAAAATGAAGCCTGATCTGTCCTTTTTTTTTCTTTTTTTTTTTTTTTTTCTTCATAAATGTTCATTTTAAGTTGAATTTGTAGCTTGGACTTTAAGGTAGCATGGCTCTCTTTGCTGTAAGTTTATTTTTTTTTTCCATTGTACAGCAGCGTACCGCTGGTGAATGTTACACATCTTGCTAGGCTAGTTAAACCATTGGGTAATTGTTGGTAATAACGACCTGAAAGGTGTTCGGATTTCTTTTCTTCCCTGCTCTGAAGCCTAGGATGCTGTTTTCATCTGTAGTGTGAATGAGGGCTAGTGACTCCAGCCACAGTTACCTTCCTGTTTCGTTTCTGCCATTCACTCAATGCAACATAATCAATAATAAAGCAATATAGTTTACTACATTTTTACTGAAGGCCAGCCATGGTTATGTATGATATTGCATATGAAACTGTTTACAAAAAAAAAAAAACAAAAAAAAAAAACCAACAAACAACACTAACTCATAGCTGTCTTTTATGCTATGGAAATGTCTCTTGGGTGGAATTTTCTGAATTATTTTTTTTAGTGGTTTGGTTTGGTTTTTTAAGCGAAATAGTTTAAACAGAAAACTGAAGTTAGGGTAGGGTGAAGAGACAGGATGCATCGAAGACACACCGGCAGATCCCGGTCTGCGCACAGACACTGTAGAGTTTCATACGTACAGAATCCAAGTCAAACCCGCTGCCGTGTGCGAACACTACGTGAGGAGATTCTGTAAGCTAAGCAATACTTTAAAAAAAAAAAAAAAAAAAAAAAAAAAAAAAAAAAAAGTAGTTTGAGAAAGTAAATCCTCGTGATCGGTTCTCGGTTCCCAAACAGTCCGACTGTGTTGTCTCGAGAGAGCTCCGTGTCCGAGCAGGGTGGAGCCCCGGCAGCCCGGGGCCAGCAGGACTCGCCCGCGCCCGGCTCTCTGGTCTGTACATACCCGTAACACCACGCGTGGGCTCGTGTGTCGCGTCGACCGTCGTAGGTAGCAAATCCCCGTCATTCTCTGTTGTACGAGGTCTGAACTCCATCAGTACTAGGATGCAAGTCTAAGCATTTCAGGTGGTCATAAATGTACTTAAATAAACTATGGCACAGTGGCAGGCCTAGCCCTTCCTTTTATACTTTAGTATGAACTGATGAGAACTTTGGTAGTGACTTTTTTTTTATATATATACATATATATATGTATCTATATATATCAAGCATCTTTCAGGTCTCTGTGTATGGCTTTCTAAAGCCCTGTTGTAAAATACTATGTGGATGGGGGTCTCTCACATCACAGATGTGGAAAGTATAATTTTATATTTGTATTTTCAAATAAATAAGTTTGTGAAAGGTTTCCATCCTCTACTGTGGTCCAGAAATCAATGTGTTTGTCTGACAAAAAAAAATACAATAAACTGTTTTGAACAGATCTGTGGAGTCTCTTTCATTCGGGCAGGGTGAAATGTTTAGTCCTGGGATGGGGTTGGGGCCAGCGCATCCCACGCCCGTCCCTGGGGAAGGTGTCAGTAAGGGGGACGTGGCAGCCGATGCCGCCAGCCCCCCACGGCACCGGCAGTGTAAGGTAAAGGACATCGGTGACAAGTGTCACCGTTTTTAATGGCTTTTGCTCAACCCCACGCTCCTCAACGTGTCCCGGGGCTCCTCTGCGAGCCCTGATGGAGGGGGAGAGCTTTACTCCGTAGCTTAGAAATATTTCTACCTAGGCAGCTGTTATCTATTTATCAACCTCTACGTGTCTTAGAGATACTTGGAGGGGGGAAAAAAAAACCCTCCTACCTGCTTTGTCCTTGCCTTCCCTTTGGGGGAGCGGCTCGCCTTGCCTCGGCGGGGAGGGGGTGGCTGGGGGGGGACAGGGAGCAGCACGTCTTCGGAGGGACAAAACCCATCGGATTTCCCTTGAAGAGCAGCAAACCCGTCCCTGTGCCTCCCGGGCGGGCGGGGGGCTGCAGGAGGAGGAGGAAGATGAGGCAGGACGCTCTGTGTTGGTTTTGCTCGACAGCCCTGGGTTCAGGCCGTGCCCGATGGCAAGACGCAGCGATCCGGAGGGTTGCCCAGCCTGATTCATCCTCGTTTCTCCCTAGATTGAAGGTTTCTGAGCAGCTTTTACTACCTGAGGAGGCTGGACCCAGCCACCCCAGGGCCGCCCAGCTCGGGGCTCTGCCAGAGAAAAACCTCACACGAGAGAGAAGGAGAAACAGTCCCGAGTCCCCGCGACAGCAGGCGGCCGAGCTGGGCTGGGAGTGGCACTAATCCCCTTCCTCAGCCCTGCACTCTTGCCCGCTGGTTGTTCTCGTTAGGCACAACACGCCTTGTCTGGCTCCGCACCCTCTTCGCAGCTCAGGTGTTTCACCAGAGGATGTTTTACTTCAGCACTTGGAGGGGAGCAGAGCCAACACCCCCCCCCCCCCCC